TCTATCATAAAGTAAATGAAAACTCAGTTGAGGGATGCATAGAGAACTCAGTCAGTAAAGTGTTTACAAGGGCAATCACAGGGGTGTAGGTTCAGTCCCTCCCATCCATATGTAATATTTGTCATGATGACTATATTTTTTTAATCATAGCCCTGGGGAGGTGGAGACAGGCAGATCTCCAGGGCACGGTGGCTACCCAGTCTTCCCTATTCAGTAAGTTCCATGTGCATTAGATACCATGCCTCAGTAAACAAGGTAGGTTATCCTACTTTGATGCTTAAGGCTGAGGAATGACACCTAAGGTAGAGCATTGGACTCTACACACATGTACCTGTAAATGCATATGTACACACATACAACCCTTGCTGACTTTGTATCTTCTATTATCTAATTTTGTCTCTCCCCATCACCCCAGCTAACTCCTTTTACAATGCTTTCAATACCACCTTTCCCGCTTTCTCTCCTAACTCTCCCTCTTCTTTGACAGTCTTTGGTCTTTATCAATCTGCAGTCATCCATGCTCTTAAGGACCCTGGGCATTTTCACATTTCCTCCATGCTTGCATGTTCCCCTGCATTTGGCCTGGCTAGTTCTTCCTTCTTGGGGCCCTTCATGAATGCCTGTAAGATGACATGTTCCTATTTGTGTTCGTTATCCTCTCTGGTCCTGCTTCAGTCTTCTCTGCAAACTCACCCTTGAGGCCAAAAAACTGACATTGTTCAAGTTGAAATCTAAACTTTTTCCCAGTTCTCACTATGAGTTTTTTTTCTCTTTTCATGTGTGTTACTAGCATTTTTCAGCATTTGCCCACATAATATGTATTTCTGATTTTATCCTTTTTTACTGGGTGCCAGCCTGATATATCTCTAGGTCAGTTTTGTCTCCTGTTATTGTGTTGAAATACCCAGACAGAGCCAATTTAGGAGAGAAGGAGCTTGTGTCCATCATAGCAGGGAGATAGCAGCAGAAACATGGTGTGGCTGATGATGCTGCCTCCATGATCCAGAACAGACAATAAAAAAACATTCATGTTTATGCCCAGCTCCATTTTTTCACTCTTACATAGTTCAGGAACCCCTGTTTAGGGAATGGTGCTGCCCACATTGGGAAGGTTCCTCCCAGATTAGTTAATACAACTGAGGCAATCACTGATCAGACATTCCTACAGGGAACTTGAGCTAGACAGCATCTCATTGGGAATCTCTCCCAGGTGGTGTTAAGGGAACATTCAAAACCAGTCATCACACTACAACACTGCAGTATGACTTTTCTACAGAGGTTCTCATGGGTGTTTTGACTGAATATTTCTTCAGCCTTCCCTCATTCCTGTGAATCCTCCTCCAGTCTCTTCATGTCACCTCCACAGCTCACTCACCCAGTGGCTTATGGCAAAGGAGAGCAAATTTCAACCAAACAATAATTCTTGTCATCTCATCCTTCTCCTTTCGCCAGTCCAATCAATCAATCAATCAATCAATCAATCAATCAATCATCAAGTCCAGTTGACCCTCCCTATAAAATATAACTCACTTTCTCCATCTCACCCAGTCCATTTTTGAGCAGCTGCCTTTCTTTTTGGTTTGCTGTGATAGCCTTGAGTCATCTCCACTGTTGCTGCCAGCCTCTTTCATCACCATCCAGCCTCCAGCTAGAAAGAGAACTTCTCAATGATTTCTCTCAGTACTGAACAGTCAACACCCACACTCCATGCCCCTGCTCTCCTTGATTTCAAGGAAGGCATGACATTAGTATCTGTAGATTCCTTGGGATGGCCACTCCATCATGTCTCTCTCCAACTATTAAGCTGCTTGTGAGTGGGAACTAGGATTGTTGCTTTCCACATATTACATATTGTGCTGGGTCAGGTGCCCAGTGAAGGAAGCATGGAGCCTGTAAATGAATGCAAACCAGCCCTGACTCTGTCCACACCCCCAGAGAGAGATGTGGTGCAGGTCCAGGCCCTCCAGAATGCAACCTGCGAGAGAATGAGCTAGAGAGAGCCTTTCATGGGATTGTGTTAACTCACCCTTTAATTCCAAATCCAGGGACTTTCAGGTCCTCGCTGAGGGCCATCAGGGGTGCAGGCTCCAGAGCAGAGCTAGAATCAGTTCTCTGTATGGCACTGGATAATTTCTATGCAGACTTGGGTTTGAATTGTGGCTCTGCTGTCTAACAGCTCCTGCTTTTTTAACCAGTTATGAGTTCACCTGTGCCTCAGCTTCTGGTACATGGACCCAGAGCCAGTATTATATGACACAATGATGTTTTCATTAAATAAGAGAGCCTTAATCCTCCAAAACAGCACCTGACCTGTGGGCAATGATGTCTAAGTCTTAGAGACTTTATACCTTTGCCTACAACTCTGACTTTTGACTTTTTCTTACCCCTGATCTTTTCTTCCCCATCTTATCACACAAAGAGAAGGAATTACCAGCCCTTACAGAGCACACTTCCTTACATATGAGAAGCACAGACTTGACAGCCCTACTTTGTGGAGCTTTGTGGAGTGTTTTGCTGGTACATTGCTGTGTACCAAGTTTGCTTTGGGATAACAAGCTGGGAGTGAGAAAGGGAAGATGGGATTTGAGGGGAGAAAATTAGAAAGTTAATTAAAAGAAACAACTTGGCAATTAAACTCCCAAACACTCTTATTTGGAGGTTGGGGTGGGAGTGGATTATAGCACACAAATGGTGTGTTTGCCTCAGAGGCAGGCCTGGAAGCCCTGAATGAGACAAGCTTCAAAATACAAGACAGATGCCTGTCTTCATGGATGAGAAGATACATTGATTCATCCATAGACTTTTCAGGAGTAGAGCAAAACATATTTATAGTACACATATACAAATTTATATGTATGTATTATGTATGTATGTATATGTGTGTATGCGTCATATATATAACACATTATATACTGTGTACTATGTGTATCTTATATAATATTTAGTATTGTGTTATTATCTTTTTCTGTTGTTATGCTAAAATTCCTTGACCAAAACAACAATAACAACAACAACTGACATGAGAAAGTGTTTCTCTTTTTTTGTTTGTTTGTTTGTTTTTGGTTTTTTTTGAGACAGGGTTTCTCTGTGGCCTTGGAGGCTGTCCTGGAACTAGCTCTTGTAGACCAGGCTGGTCTCGAACTCACAGAGATCTGCCTGCCTCTGCCTCCCGAGTGCTGGGATTAAAGGTGTGCGCCACCAACACCCGGCTTGAGAAAGTGTTTCTTTTGGTCTGTAGTGCCAAAGGAGTAGAGTCTATCATGGGGAAGACATGGCCACAGGTATGGAGAGCATGGTGGCAGGAGCAGGAAGCTGACTGATCACATGTCATCTTCATACAGGAAGCTAAGATTGAAGAACAAGTAGGGAGGGCCAATCTACAAAACCTCAAACTCTTCCTCCAGGTGATGTACTTCCTCCAGGAAGGCTCCACCTCCTATTGTCTCTGCAACTTTCTCAAACAGCGCCACCTGCTGGTGGTCAAGTGTTCAAACACGAGCCCGAGGAGGACATTCACATTCAACCCACAATACATGTCCACTCTTATACTTGCTGTTTTATTGGGGTTTTTTTTTTTTGAGGCATAATTTCCTGTTTTATTTTTCTTAGACATAATTTCAATTACCTCAGGCTACCTTTAATCTCAATGTATAGACAAAATTGACCTTGAACTCCTAATTCTCGGGCTTCCACATCTGTAATGCTAGAATCACAGGTGTGCATCCAACACACCCCACTGAGTATTCATATTTTCAAATATTCACAGCTGACTTGCTGTTGTGTAAATTTCTGGACTAATGATGGTATGTCCTGTCCATTGTCCTGTCTCATCACCTGTTCAGGTTGCTTGTTTCTGTGTTTCCCTGAACTTTTATATGTGCCCACATAGCCACCAGAACAGAACAGTATATTTATAAACCACCCCCAAATAAGTAAGATGGCCATTTAGTATTTGTTTTTTAGAGGCTTGAGTATTTATTCATCAAGTTATTTTTCAAAATATTAAAAATCAATGATTTGAGCTTCTGTGGAAAGAAACAAGATCCTATAATTTAGAAACATGGGCAGAGTGGCTGGATAGAAGTAGGTTCAAACCCCTACTCTTACCCACAACCTTTGCTTATTTGTGCAACCAAGATATAGCTATTGGCTGCTTGCTGCAAAGCAAGCAATCACTATTGCAGTCTCCAACAGTAACTTTAGTGGTTTGGCTTGTTTACATGTTGCTGTGATGATTTACCCTGGGAGAAACAACTTAAGCATGAAAGGGTTCATTCTAGCCTACAGTTTTAGTACTGTCCTATGGCAGGACGAGGGGAATCACAGTGGGGGGAGTTGGAAGCAGCAGGTCACATCACATCCACAGTCAAGAAACAGAAAGATTCTTCAAGTGCTCACCTGGCTTTCTGCAGTTTACAGGATCCAGGCTCCCCTCCCAGGGAATGTGCTTACCCACTACCCAGAGGGGCCTTCCCATGTCACTATCCTAAAGCAGATCATCCCCCACAGACCTGCCCAGAGTCTGCCTCCCAGCTGGTTCTGGTTCCATCCAGTTGAGCATTGATGTTAACTGTCACACTTACCAGTTCTTCTGGGTTTCCTGACTCTCAGTTTTTAGAGGTCTGGAAAATGGATTTCGTCCTCAGACACTTAAGGATTTCCAGGGTTTGATTCTCCTCCCTCTTGTAGCCAATGTGTCACAGGCAGAGCACAGTAGATCGAGGCTTTGCCTTAACTGCCAAGTTAGTGTTAACAGGGCTTCCCCTTGCACACTAGTCTACAAAGTACTCTGGAAAATGAATTAACCTCCCTATATCTAGAGTTACTAAGATATCCTGCTTAAAGCACCCAGCAGCACAGATATGAGTGCCTTTGGGTCCAGCAAGGTTTTTATTGGAAGAAAATGAATTCATAGCCGACAGTAAGTCTGTGTTCATTAATATGACAGAAGTGCATCCGCCTGCCTGTGATAACTAATGCCAGATTTTGTATGTTTGCAGGTTATGGTTTTGTAGATTTTGATAGTCCTGCAGCCGCACAGAAAGCAGTGGCATCCTTGAAGGCAAACGGTGTGCAAGCACAGATGGCCAAGGTAAGCCTGCTCAGACCAGAGGGTCTGTGCAAATGTCCGCCTCTGGGTGTGTATCTCTGTGTGTGTGTGTGTGTGTGTGTGTGTGTGTGTGTGAGAGAGAGAGAGAGAGAGAGAGAGAGAGAGAGAGAGAGAGAGAGAGAGAACAAATATTAGTCCTTTACAGTGATCAGAGCCCAGATTAGAGTTTATATCCTTTCTGTACTCAGTTTTTAGGGAAATGAACCATTCAATAGACTTGTTGTTTTCTCTCTGACTTGATGTGGAGTTATTCATGAGCTCTTTGGTTGTGGAGACCCCAGTGATTAAAGGAACAGGTGGATGTCTCTGTTTTGCCTGAAAAGGGAGATACGCATGGATGAGAGTCTAGAACTTTCCTTAGTCGGCACTGCTGGAGTCATTATACATGTATGTGCATACTGGTGTCTAGTCGACAGAGTTCTGGGGTAGTACAGAAAGTTATCAATGACTTGATGTGTGCTAAATTTCACTTATTTGTTCCATGTTTGGGAGGCTTCTAAGCTGATGGCTTTTCCCCTAATCTGTGCAGGGAAGTGGCTTATTGCTAATGTCCTTGTCTGTGTTATTGGAATTTCACTTTGGCCCATATACCCAGAATTTACCTGGGGAACAATTTTCTTGATGTCCATCATTTGCAATATTTACCCATTGCTACATAGAATGCATTGTTTGGGGCCTTGGATGTGAACCTATGATGAATTTTTACATCAATGTGAAAATTGTGCATCATCATTTTGTGCCATGATTTCTGTAGTGTTAGAAGAATCTACCTATAATACTCTGTACCGGTGGATGAAATTAGAGTTCTGTGTGCAGCGTGTATGGTCCCCTTCATGTAGCCTGACAAGCCTGCTCCATCTTTTTCATCAAAGGACTCTAAGGAGAAAGAAGGACTTTATCCTGAAGGTTCTAATGATTAAGCTTTCATATGATTATGACCTTAAAAATTGAAAAAAAATTAAAAAATTAAAAAGAATCTACCTATGTGGTCAGATAATATGGATCTCGGGAACAATGTACACTGATGCCATTGCCCTCATTTTCATTTGGGATTCTAATGAGAGAACATCAGAATGACACAAGCTAGATGTGGCAGTGCACAATTTTAATCCTAGTACTATGGAAGCAGTGGCAGGTTGACCTCTATGAATTCAAGGACAGCCTGGTCTATGTAACAGGGTTCAAGGTCAGCCAGGAATACCAAAAACTCAAAAGAAGGAAGAGTAAAAGTGAGTAAACACCAAAAATGTTGCTGATGACATTTGGATGTTTGGTAAATGTTGATGCTCAAATAGCAGCCCTTTTGAGTCATCATAAATAATCTGTTTAAAATAGTCTTCCTGTTAAAAGTTCTGAACTTAACTATCCTAAGATCTTCACACTGTTGGATGCCATAGGTAACAGACCTTGAAGTTTTGGGCATCTGTCTCTGGTTTGTATTTCTAGTTTCCAGGTCCTGTTCCCATAGAAGTAAGTGATGTAATGATGAAGTCATTTGATGTCGTAGCTGTTTGTATTTTGTTATGATTGTGTACATCCTCTGGTAGAACATTACAACACCAGCCTCTGATTTCTAGTGATCAACATTTGTGTCCTAGCGGCTCTGTGTGCATTCTGACTAATGTGTGTAGATCATATCTTCTAACTGTCTGTTGCTAGCCAGTTTCCTCTTGGGTGACTGTGGTAGGCTCATTGTTTTTCTCATTGTTCAAGGCGACATAAATTACAATTCTCCCAGTTGTGTATTATGGTCTTTGTCAGGACTAAGCCTGGAAGCTTTAGATTTGGTCAGGAATTGAAATTGATGAACTTAATACTTTTAATTAATCAGGAAATTACATGCATGTCCTGGTTTAAAGGTTGCTTGGCAAGAGTCAATGCAACTGAAGTAGCAATTTCCTTTACCCAAAAACAAGTGATAAGAGTGTGGCTGTTGGCCGAGGCAAGAAATGATTATGAAAATGCTTGGGAAAGAGAACAGGGAGGGCCTGAAGAGATGGCTCAATTGTTAAGTGCTTACTGTTCTTACAGAGGGCCCCAATCTAGTTCCCAGGACCCAAGTTAGGCAGCACACAGTCTCAAGTAACTCTGGCTTTGAAGACCCAACCCTCTCTTCTGGCTTATATGGGAACTACATCAAGTGTACACATGCACAGAGGTAGACACATGTAAATTTTAAAAGAAAAAAATCTTTAAAACCTAAAGCATATTCTGGAGAAATGGTTCCATGGTTTAAAGTACTTGTAGCTCCTATAGAGGACCTGAGTTTGGTTCCCAAAACCCACATTAGTTGTTCACAACTAACTTCCTATAACTCTAGCTCCAAAGGATCTAGTACCCTATTCTGGTCAACAAGAGCACTGAGTTCAAGTTCTCTCTCTCTCTCTCTCTCTCTCTCTCTCTCACACACACACACACACACACACACACACACACACATATATATACTCTCACACACATGAAGTTTAAAGTAAGGTAAATCTATTTTTTAAAAAAGAAACAAACAAAATGAGGAACCTGAGAAATATCTGAGGAGATAAAGGCACCAGCTGTGAAGTTGAAGACCTCAGTTTGATCCCCAGGATCTTCATGGTGGAAGGAGAGAAGAGACTTGCCAGAGTCCTCTGACCTCCATGAGTGTATACATTGTGTACGTGTGTGTGCATATTGCACATATGTGTAAATAAATAAGTAAAATAATACATCTTTAAAAGAAAATGGTTGTTGCAACATATTTGGTACATTCTATTTATAAACCTTGGACGTTTTGGAAGTTATTCAGTAGTGGTTTATAAATAGTGAACACAGTTGCTTCTAAATTCTCAAGAGATATTAAGATATACACAAACAGATAGATGGTAGATTGTCAATAAATGATAGACAGATGAGATAGATAATAGAAAGATAAGCAAATAGATGATGGATGATGATAGATCATTCACTGAGTTAAGCTTTTGTATAAAAAGGGGCAAAGAAAGTTGACATTGACTTTAATATTTTCAGCATGCTCGTATATAAGGAACTCTCCTCTATGCCCTAACACACACACACACACACACACACACACACACACACACACACACACACACATCACTGTCCTATCACCCAGTAAGGAAATGTCTACACTAGTATTTATTTAAAGACCTTCGGAAGGGATTATTCACTCCAGCCGCCATTTTGAACTTTGTCACGAATCTAAAGTGCAAAGCCTCAAGTGCCTGGCTGGACTGTGGGCAGTCACTCTGCTGCAGACTTTCTGAAGGATTTTACAGCTTCAGTTGTGCTGTCTGTGAAGTAAATCCTCATGAAGTTTGAGCCCAAAGCCTGCTTTAGATTCCCATCTGCCCACTGGAAAACTTGCAGCAATAAATGATTCTGTAATTTAACTACCCAGAAGAAAATAAATAGCCTCCGCTTGACAATGAAATGGAACAAGCTTGGCCACCTGTATTAGCAGATTTCTCACTGAGCTATTGAATTTCATGGCACTTTTTCCTCTGTCCTGGTGATAACTGTTATTTATTATCATATAAACCTGCAGTCTGCAGGGTGTGTGTTACTTGAAGTATATATTTTACCATTTAAGTATGCACCAAATCGCCTCCTACATCCTTGTTCTTATCACTATCCCACTCTGTTGGTTGTGGTGTGACATTTTAAAATCCCCAGGACTTTAAAGTAAAAATGACTCCTGGGGTTGGAGAGATGGCTCATCAGTCAAAAGTGCATACTGTTTTTGCAGGGGACCTGCGTTCAATTCCCAATACCTGCTTGTGGTTGCTCTGACACAAATTCCAGGTGATCTGATGACCTATTTTGGACACCACTAATACCTGCATTCACATTCACATTTCCCCATACAGATACACACAGATACAGACAGACAGACAGACAGATAGACACAAGCACTTATATAAATAATAGTAAGTATTAAAAAATAAAAATGCCACATGTAATTAAGTTCCCAGTAGCAACCTGGCACCCATTTGAAACTGGGAGTTCCTTCCCATAGTCAATGTGCTCCAATGTGTGCCTGTGAAAACGCCAACTGATGCTTCAACTGCAAAGAACTCAATAGGGAATTAGCCAGGAAGTAGTAATTGATCAATGTGTGAGTCACTTTTCTGTTGCTTTGATAAAATACCATGCACAAAAGAAAGTTTTGGAAAAGTTTATTTGGGGCCACAGTTCTAGAGGAAAGGGTCTATTATGATGGGAGAAGCATGGCAACAGGAGGCAGATATGGTGTCAGGAGCAGGAAGCCGAGACATTAGCAAAAGAGAGAGAGAGAGAGAGAGAGAGAGAGAGAGAGAGAGAGAGAGAGAGAGAACTGAAAGTAACTAGAACCTTTGAACTCTCAAAGCACAACACAGTGGCTTACTTCCTCCAGCTAGGCTGTACCACCTCCCTAAATGCATCACTCCCTCCCCAAACAGCATCACCCCCTGGAGGGGACAAATTCGTGAGTCTTTGGTGAAAACAAATTGAAAGGATTTTACCAGTGCTGGTGAAGAACATAGGTTTGAAAGGTGCATTTGGCTTTGATTTCTGGTCGTGGCACCACCTAGTTTTGTGAACTTTCTGTGTTATTAAAATATCTCTAATACTCTTTTGAAATAATACAGTGCTTAGGCTCTGTGGTTATTGGGAAGACTTTCAAAAATCCACAAAGAATTTGGCATATTGCTTTCACAGTAAGAATCAAGTACATGTTGTGCTGGGTAACCTGTGAATCCTAACGTATTCTTCAGGTCTATTGTCACATGGATTAGTAAATGTTGTGCGTTGGGTTCAGATGGGCCAAGGAACCTGTGAATCCTAAAAGATCTTCAGGTCTTCCATGATCACAAAACAGTCTATAGGAAAATATTGTAGAAGTTTTAGTCTGTAGGTGTTTTGGTTTTGCTGTGGGCTAGACAGTGTGTTTGTTGTAATAAAAAAAAGGCTGTAACACGCAGTAAGTCTTTAGGGAGATGGACAAG